GAAATTATTTTATCTTTAATTTACTGAAGTACTGAAGTGCACTATAAATACATATTTATTTTCGATAAATAAAATCGGTAAGTAGTCGTTGACTTAATTGTCAGAGTTGATATGAACGGGAGGGAACTCGGCTAGTATCCGGGAGGGAATTCGACATCTATATTTTAACCAAAACTACCTGCGGGAGGAAATCCGGCATCATCGATTGAAACAGAAAGATTGATAAGTAATACAAGTGAAAATGCTAATAACAAAATTTTGGACACACGGAATGCGTTACCAAACACTTTTAATTGTTTGAAGAAGCTGGATTATGCTATTTTAACGTTTTCATCAACCTATGCCTTCGAGTCATTATTTTCAGCGATGAATAACATTAAAAACTCGGTTAGAAACCGTTTGACAGATGACTCCAGTTCAGCATGCATTCTGCTATAAGTAACATCTTACAGCCCTAACATAATTAAGTTATTTGTAATCTAATCTACAACAGCAGAAGTCACACTAATTTTACTTTAATTTAAATTACACGTATAATTTAAACATTGCAAAATGTTCCTATTTTTTTTGTAGTTGTAGATATTACTTATTATTATTATTTTATCAATAATCACAGACAAAATTATTTGATGGCACTTTTTTTTATAAAAATAGCACGTCGATGCGTAAAGGTTCGCCATTCCTGTTTTATACCATCAGTTCTGGCTTTAGGGCTTTCCAATTATCCCAAATTTCTCTTAATTCGATTATTATCATTAACTATAAATGTTTATCCATTTCAGCGTCCTGTGTGGATTCTCTTGTTGATCGTCTTGTTTACAATGCCAATTATATTTTTGACGTTTTCGTTGTTTCGAAAGAAGGGCGAATTTTGTTCTTCAATTTTAATTTCGTTGAGTATACTTTTAAAAATGACCATCACAAGAATGCCTCATACAAAGGCTGAAAGGGTCCTACTGATGTTTTGGCTATTTTACAATTTGCTGACAGACATTTATTTCGAAAGCCACTTGCTAGGGGCTCTCAATAAAGCCCACAGAGAAGGGATGGTGGACTCGTTAGAAAAAATGGTTGATATGAAATTCACCGTAATGGTGCATAGCACACTTTCAAAGTTTTTCCCAAACAACGATCTAGAAATTGATAGATACATTCAGCGAAACAGCAAGAAAACTAATTTCAATTTGGAAGCTTTAAATGCATCTGCTGCAGATCATAGAACAGCCGCAGTTGCCATGGAAAGAATAGTAAAATTTTACATAGCAAGGTATTATGTTAATCCTGAAGATGGTACACCAATGGTACACCTCATTAAAAAAAAGTTTATGTTTGTTCCGATGACTATGTATTTGTCCAAAGGGTTCCCGTTGTACGATCAAATAAATGACATGATACACGAACTAAAGAGCAAAGGATTAATAATTAAATTATACCATTATTCCCAACATCACAACCTGATCAACTTCTATGCGTTCAAAAGAGTTACATGGAAATCTGACTCGTTGAAACTTACTGAACTGAAATATTTATTTTGGATGCTATTTATCGGATTATTTTGCGGAAATGTTGCTTTTATTTGCGAAATATTGTGGTACAGATTTAAACTGCGAAACGACTACCGCAATTATGGCTAAAAAATAATTTATCTCAGTGCAGGGCCGTAGCCAGGGGTATACTATCCATGCAAAAAATCTGGCCTCTAGTCTGACAAAGTTTAACTATAATTCTGGGCCAGTTATGGTTAAAATATGTGAGAGTTATAGCTTAATTATATCTTGTTTTAAATTTTTCCCGGCACCTCCACCAAAATTTTCAATATTTTTTTATAATTACTAAAGTTCGTGTGTTTTAATAAAGATCTTATTTTCGACATTGAAATGATGGTTTATATGATTAACCGTATACAAGGATTATTTATCATCAAATCTGAACTTTGTGATACTTTGTACTAGCAAACAAAATCATACAAAAACTTATTATAATAAGTTAGGCATTTTTAAGAAAATTTAATCAGTAGAAGTACTGATGATTACAAATTTTCCACCATAATCTTTAATATGTACAAAATTAAACATTAATTAATAAAAGAACCCAAGGTTTTGAATCATCGTACAATTTTCTGATCAAGAATTAAAACTAATTGTACTCCTAAGTAATACCGACGATAAATAAAATTAACGAAATGTTTTGTGAAATATATATACATAGAAAGATCATGCCTTCAGGACGTAAAGATCAGTATAATTTGAAGAAAACTTCGGTCAGAACGAAATTTTCTGCAATAGGAGTTCGCGAACCAAAAAGAAACACTGGTTTAAAAGATTATTAAGAAAAAGATTCCCTGATGTTTGCACCTAGAAAACCTAGTTATCGTTTTAACTTTTACCTATAGATTATACATTATATTACCGTTATAATATTGTCCAATATTTGCTAATGTTACAGTCTATTATTTTTGCTTTTTATTAATTAAGGTTACATTGCAAACCATATTTTATGGTTTATTACAGCACCATTTCAAGTGACGTAGGACTGAACATTAGTAATCAGCAGAGTTTTGTAAGATACCTCAGTGATATACAACACCATAAATTAATAAATATTTTGTAAAAATATAAGTATAATATAACCCTATAAATTCAAGACAATTATTGTGTCCATAATTCTTGGTTACTAATTATCTATTTTGACCAATCGAACATTATATTCAGCTGTGTAATCTACAATGTGTCACTTACCATCTAGCCCCCAGGGAGAGTAAGTTTAGGTGCCTACCTGAAAAAAAAAATAATAAAATTATAATGCGTTTTATTAATAAATAAGAATAAAGTAGTATGAACGAAATATAACAGTTTATCGTGACACATTTGAAATGGAACAATGACATAAACAAGTAAGTGACAAGAAGTTAGTTGAAATCATCAAGAAATGAGAAAACTTTTGAAAACTGCCCGAAAGATAGTGAGTTATTTATTAGGTATATGCTTAGTTAAAATTAGTCGCAAAGGAAAAACATTTTTAAATCAATTTGCATTGTAGACTCTACAACAAAATAAACCGTAGTAGTTGTTGTTCATCATGGAAAAACACGCGGTACTTATAAAAATGAGTCACCAATTGATTATCCTTTAGTTTAATTACATAATAATTACTCTGATTTTTTATATTTATATCTAATGTATAAGTGCCAAGAATTTGAAGGTTTGATGACCACAAAAGAAACGAGAATATTGTGCATATACACTATTGGCATATTGAGAATTCTAAATGTGGAGATATTTTAATAATTGCAGCGCTGGATTTACACTAGGGGCACTAAGGGCTAGTGACCAAGGCGGCAAATTCGCATCAGGGGCACTAAAACTGAGGACTCGAGAAAAACTTTTTTTAATTTTTAAATATTTAGGCGAAAATACCTTTTAAATGGTTGAGGTACGATCCACAGCATCTGTTAACGTTTATAAAGCACAAACAGATGCTGAGTACCAAATCTCGATTTCACTAATAATTTAAATGTCGCTTCAAAATAAAAAAATTTTTTCGAAACTTTTCGTCAACAATATTGTTCAACGGATCAAACTGCGTAGTTTTTTTGAGCTTTAGCTTCATATGATCTCAAAACGCCGAGACGTAATGACAAATACTCGATTTTCAAAAATCGACCAGAAATCAATAACTTGGTTTTTATTATAGGGGAGAGTTCAAAAAGTATTTTGATTCCTCATTCATTTTGTGTAGAACAAGGGTAGTAGGCCACCATTTTTAACGATACCTAGGGCGACACTAAGTAAAAATCCGGCATCATTTCTTGAAAAATACGATGTGACATACGGAAATTCGTTCAAATACTTGCAGTTATCTTTTTATCTAAATAATAAAGTGATGTAAAAAGTATTTCAAGGGGCTTACGCTTTGTTCAAAGTTTTCTGAAAATTCGGTTAGTTTAGGATAGTTTCACGACAGGCGATAGGTATAGGGAATATCGTAAACATAGAAAAGAGATGTCAGGTAGGAATTGCAGCGGACACTAATACAGAAAAAGGAATAACATTACACCAATTAATGTGTAACAGAAAGAGATGCAGACAGCCAGAATTTGAGCATGTTGCAAGTATCGGACTTAAATTTAACATTCTCAGGATTTTAAGAAAGCAAAGACGTTTGTTTAAAGATACAATTCCAACCAGGCAATTATAAAGCCGACCCTGATATTTCGCATAGCTACGCAACGTCTAACCGCTGCATCGCCTGCTATAATTCGGTCATCTCTTTTCACTTTGCTGTAATACTCATGAAGCATTTCGTAATTTAACAAGGGCGTGTTCAAAACGCAGAAAATGACCACAGTCCGAAGTGGAAACAAGAAAGATGATTGCGGATTGCCAATCTTGATCGTCAAACGACATGTATATTACACGACAAAGAAATCTGTTACTTATATATCTGGTGAATATTTTGCTATACCTGTATATATTATAAATAGTTAAACTGAACTTGAAGGAATTTAACTTTCAAGTCAAGAACCAGCTTATTGTAAATGCAACTGTGACATTTTTCTTCGACTTAAGGACACTCTTTCAGGTAGAATGGCTTATCGTTATTAGCATACCTAGCAGGTATTAGATACCTGGTGTGGCACTTGACATTGACAGAAATAAATTATCTGCTTTATATACTTACTTCTATATAGATTGGTTTGACTTGCATTCCAGAAAAGTTATCAAAAGTGATACAAGTTGCCTATGCACTTTTATATTATTGTATAATTTTCTGTTGCATTTCGTATCGATTGCAGTTATCTATGTGTATGTAATGTAAAGTAGTAATTATGCTTTTGTAGAGGAGTTGAATGCACAATCTAAAAAATTTTATGAGTAGCTATACAGGGAGCTTCCAAAAAGTTATAAGAATAACAGTCGAACTTCTGTAACTCGATAAATTAATGTTACCCTATTAATATGATAAATGCGAATGTGAATTAGTTTGTTTGTTTATTACTATTTCACGCCTTAATTATTGAGCCGATCATCATGAAATTTTATATACACATTATCAAAGGTACAGCAAAGGACATAGGGTGCCCGCTATCTAGAAAAAAAAATACTGTTCCCGTGGGATAAAAAAATTTCTTTTCATCTCGACAAAGATGCAAGATTCTACACAAAATGACGTTAAGCTAACCTAACCTACAAAATTAGAAATACCACTTTTATCCTGATGATCCTAGTTAGAACTTAAGAACAAATTCATCAAATTATTGTATTTTGGATGATTTTAGGATATCAGAGCGAACGAAGCCGCTGGTAAGAGCTTGTATAAAATATTACAGATAACAGCAAACAAAGCGTATAGGTTAAGATTATAAGGTTTCAGTAGGAAAAGACAACATGAACGAAGTACTTGTAACGTCTGACATCGTGATCTGGGGTTGTAAGGGTCTTTAGAGGTAGTCTTAACAACAGCAACATTTATACGTAGAAGAGATGACTTTGGAAATGTAAGGAAATCCAGGAATTTTCCAACTAGAATTTTCTGACTGGTCACTTTCATATAGGAGGATCAAGTTAGGGAAGGTTAATTGTGTTGTTATTTATATTCATCTGTACGCATTCTAGCACCATCATCATCATCATAAGGCAGTCCTAAGACTTGTTGGACATGCGTCTCCATACTTTTATTTCTTGAACCCACCTTGTAGATGTCCAATCTTTTATTTCTTGTTTGGTTCCCTATTTTACTGGACACATCTGCTCTTCCTGAATCCCCTTTTCATTCGACAGGCTTAAAGGGGTTCATGTTTTTTTTTCTTTTCGACAAACCCCTCGTACACCCATGGTAACAGTTTGTACAATAACCGGCGAAATAACATTAGAACGACAGACCCCAGTTCGAAGCTATCAAGCATGGGTACATAAAGGTGTATGTACATAGGTACTACATGTATATAGACGGTTAAAAGCCAGCATCTCTTTATAAAGTTTTCACTTGATATCTAGACACATGTGCTCGAAGACTAAAAAAGCTTCGGGTTTCAGTTTCCAGCAATCGTGAGAAGTTTCGTTAATGAGTTGAGGTCGTATCGTGTGAAATAAAAATATAGTTGAATAGCTCGACAGTTTTTATATTGTTTTGTGTCATTTTTATGTGAAGATGGCCGGAGTGAACGACGGGGTTGAAGATAAAGAAGAGAAAGGTTTAGAAATGGAAACTTTTGAAAGATCGAATGGTACGGAAAATACAAAACGGTTTCAAGTGAAAAAAGTGAAAAGTAATGCTTCAGAACATCGCGTTCGATTATCGGAGAGGGATGAAAATGCGGGAGATAGAACGGAAAGCGAGGATGAAGACACTCACGTCGATATCAACGAAAGGACGCGGTTGAATTCGGAAAATGACACGAAGTATGCCAAAAGTTTTAGGTAAGTACAACCCTCCTTCTCCCTTAAAAACGCTTTTTAAATCAATCAAGAAACTATCACCGTCAAGGGTTGTTTAAAGGTTTTTTTTTTTCATTAACTTCGAAATAAATAATCAACAAGTGCTTTATACGTATTGGATGAGTGGGACGCTGTACTATTTTTTTTTATTTTTTACTTTGAATTTGAAATCACACAACACTTAACCGTTATCATAAAAAGGAAGAACAATTTTTATGAGATTTATCTATTAGCAATGATGAGCCAATGTCTTCGAAATTTAGTCGATAAGAATATTTCTTGTACTTATATAGTTAATTCAAAATAAAATATACGTAGGTTGGTACACAAGTAATAAATCACTTTTTTTTTAAATAATTGTTGTTTATGCATTGCAGCAATAAAATACTGACGTTTATTGCACGTTTCTGCTCGGTTATTATATAATTATAAATTAATTCCGATTCTAAGTATCCATAGTAGATTAGATTTTTGCACAACATTCAGGATATTCAACAAGCTTTCGTACTACATTGCATAAAGTTAGAATTTTTTTTGGAAAAAATTAACTGAGAATGAATCACGCTTGTTTACTTATTCGGTTAAAATACAAAAAAATGTTTTCATTTTCTTTTACAATGAACAATAAAAATCTGTACTTTGTCAGAATTGTTAATTTTTCACGTCTTATTTAAAATCGAATATATTCTTTTAATTTTTTCAGACTTAAAAGTACTAACGTAGGAGTCCTCTGTTTATAGTTGAATTTATAAATAAAACTGAAGGCTCTAAAAAGTAGCCAAAAATAGAAATAAAAAAAAGCGATAGGTAAATAGTTTTCTCCAAGTTCTATTCAGAACAAATGCTATCAATACCATCACACATATTTCTTCGCAGGCGTTTCCTTGAAACTAGAGCAAACACCTGAATTGTATAGCCATAATTAATTTGCATGCCGAACACAGAATGGAAGTTTACTGTTCAATATACTACAATTAGGTTGAGGCTTTTAAATTCGTATATTATGCAAACAATGCACACCAAACAGAGAATGAATTAATTTGTAACGTAAAACAGTACAAGCTAACAGGACCACCAACATCCCAAACCACATTAAGTCCTTCTCGTTCAAGAAGTCGTTTAACCAATGAAATTTCAAATCTTGGTTGACAGATTTTCAACGCGAGGGTTGAATGTAAACTGCTGAATATATTCACCATAATACCTTGCCTTAATCCTTGCTCGGTCATGAACTCATCGGTGATCGTATGTCCTGTTCTGACGACATTCCTACATGCCCTGTACATACTTTTTATAGCTTCTACTAATTTTCTGGTAATTTTTCTTTGTTTTAGTATGTTCCACAAGACCCGTCTATCTACACTATCAAACGCTTTTTCCAAGTCTAAAAATACTACACATGCTTCTAGGTGTTGATCTATGAGCTTTTCGGTAATTTGTTTTATTGTGAATATGTGGTCCCGTGTACTAAATCCTATTCTGAAACACACTCGCAGTGCCCGTATGCTGATTTTCTATTTTGTAAACCTGTGTTGTGTTATTTCCCTATAATTTTTGCAGTCCTTATTATCCCCTTTTTAAATATATGTATAACTACGCCAATCTCCCAATCTTTTGGTATTCCCTTTAGCTTCCATATTTTAGAATATAAATAAGTTTCTCGTCTTTCCCACTTCTCGTTTCAGGCCTAATGGAATCATACCCCGCTGCTCTTTCCTTTTTAATTTTATATATAGCTTCCTCAATCTCATTAGTTGTTATATCATCATCGTCGTCATTCTTTTCTTGTCCTTGTCCTGCATGTACTCATCCTTACCGAAGGTGCCCTTCCCTCTTATTTACACATAGTAACTCTTTAAAGTATTCCATCCATCTCTGTCGTATGCCAGTATCAGTTGTTAACACATTACCCTCTATGTCCTTAATCGCTGTTTCCACTCTTTTATCAACATTGCGGAATGATTTTACAGTTTCTTAGTCTATCAGAGTCTTTAATGTTCACAAACAGTGTCTGCAAGCTGACAAAATCATACTGATAAGGTATCGTTTATTAAACCCTAATATACCAACAAGCGACAGAAGTTGCTGTATCTTTTCATGATGTATGTATGTATATAATGTGCAGAAAGTTAAAAATAGAAAATAACATTTAATAAACGATAGTATTTGAAAGCATGTGCAATATGTTTAATTGTATCACAGCAGTCAACAAATTATTATATATAACTATTACATGTACATGCACTTATTTTTTTTCAGACAAATGACACGTGAAGCGTTACCGCGCCTGGACAATTACAGGAATATAATGTCCTTCCAGGCTGCTAATCGTCCAACCTTAGATGAATTGCATAATGCCACGTTATCAAACAAGGTAAAGTATGGAAACAGAAACTATATGTGTCGTACGTACACTGCCCGTCAAAGTAACGCCTGTACTTAATAAATGCGCGTTCACGCTAAGCGAGTACAAATACCGTTTGTTGCATAATGACAACTGAACGGAAGTGTCATTTTGAAACCTATTGACTCATCATCATCATAAAGTCGCCAGTCTTTTTGGAATGGAGACAAACCAAAATTTAAGCAATAATCTCATAACATGATTAATCCGAGTCATTACTTTATGATATCGATATCATCCTTGCAAAATCATCATCATAAGGCCATCAGTCCTAAGACTGGTTAGACACGCACTTCCACTCCTTCCTATCCTGAGCTAATCTTCGCATTTTCCTGAAACTGGATTAATCCACATCCTTAACTATTTACGAACAGTAATCTAATCTAGGTCTACCTCTATTCCTCTTAATTCCTGTTTCTGCCTCTAATATGTCTCTGACTAGACCATCTTATTGAACTCCATAGAGTCCACTGTTCTCCTATGCTTCCTAATACCTCCTTATTTCTAACCTCTATCCACGATATCCTAATCATTCGCCTGTAACACCATATTTCGAACGCTTTTAACATTTTCTTTTCCGCCGGGCCCACCGTCCATATTTTGCACCCGTACAGCACCTTTAACAATTTTGTCAAATTTCTAAATTGTTTGCGAGCATAGAAGTGACTTCTTTTTATTGAAGGCGACTCGACCCTGAGCTATCCTCTTCTTTATATCGCTCCTACTCCTTCCGTCCTTACTTATCCGACTTCTTAGATCCTTCCCTTGCATATTAGTATTTCAAATTTTATAATTTCCTTATTTGCCTCATGGTCCTAACATTCCACGCTCCGACTCGTGAAATATTGCACCTTCCTCTATTGCACTCATTGATGACATCACACGAGGTAGTCCCCGCCCAGACATCCGAATGGGGGACTAGTTTACATCAAGAGTGCTTTATCCCAAAGGATGCCATCATTCTAGTTTGATGTGTTTTTCTTGACAGATCATAATGTGGTGGCTTCCCGTTGCCTTCCACATCGCAGTATTGTGCATCAGAGTGCCATACCGATACTAATGATCTCTGCCATCCTGAATTCTGAAAGAGCTGCTGCTCTGCTTCAGGGACTTGTCTTAGTCTGGTTTCTCTTTAAGAACCCCCCCATTAAGGTTGAACCTATGGTCCGGCTCCCTAAATCATCGAAACTCGCAAGCCGATCCACCCACGATCTTGACGGGGCGGCGACTGAAAATTCTCACTCGTTTAGTCTAAACGCACCTTTAATATATGTCTAAAGCAAACCAAATTTAAAAAACTTTTGTTTATGAAGAATAAATAAATAAAAAATTATAATTTTTCGTTGATGTTTAAAAAATGAAATCAACAAAGGAAATTTGATAATTTGTCGCACCTGCAATCATTTTTATCTGACTTTTATTTCTTCGGCGGAATATGTTTTTCGTCGTTTTTTTTACGGAACCAATTTCAATAATAGGTGCAACGTTGGTATTACTCATAGCCATTTAAAAGAAGTTTGTGAGTAGGCTGTTTTTATTATGTTAATCTTTGATCATCAAACGGCCGCTCTTAATTGTTGCAATGGAAGAAACAAAATCAATTAGGAGATAGAAACACTACATCACCGTTAAACGCTACCGTTTAATTGGCAAATGCGTTCTTACATTAAACGAGTTAATGAAAGAATTCAAAACTTTAAAACGTAGATAGTAATGTTTGTAATATGATGACATGCCTAAGAAGTGCCAATTAACAATGAAACCTGATATAAGACTTATCATCACTGATGACCCTTTCTTAAATAAGAGACGAAAATAAACACAAAATTGTAAATTTAGTCAGATACAATTCTGAAAATGAAAAAATTGACTGCGGCTGAATTATTTAATACTAAAACGATAATTACTTTGACTAACATTAACATTTAGGTTTGTTTGGACAATGCATTAACATAGTCCTGCCAATTAGTTTATCCAACAGTACTATATACAGGGTGTTTCTGAAATAAGTAGCAATCTTTCGGGAGGCGATATAAAACAAGAAAATGAAGTAAATATTTAGTGGTTTGGAAATCCACCGTTTTCGAGAAAAACGTATTTGAAAATACAATTAAGGGCCAGTCCGGCCCTGTCAGACCTAAGCAGGAAAATACAACATTGAATATTGAATATTTCTTTTGTATTTTGTTCTTAATACCATGTCAAGATGTATTTTACATAGTACTTAACTACTCTATACGTTGCCAATTCACGTCCAGGACCGGCTTCGGATTGCAACTTCGTTTTGTTTTCTTAAAAATTTTTTTGTCCCTTAACTACGCCGTTGTACTCACCATGCGACTCCCTAAAAATACCTCAAAAACTTGCTACTTATTTTAGAAACACCCTATACAATAATTATTCGATAAAATGATTTTAATATGAATACATGAACTTATTGTTGTAGTTTATTTTTCTGAAGGTGTTATTGTTTTGTAGTCACACACCCAAATCGATATGCTTAATGGTACAACAAATGAGTCAAAAGGTCAGATAAAATTTGGGTGGATTCAAGGGGTATTGATACGATGCCTGCTCAATATATGGGGTGTCATGCTCTTTCTTCGGCTCTCATGGGTTGTAGGGCAAGCAGGAATTGGTAAATATTTGTGTGCCATGGTTAATAAAAGAAAAAATTAGAATTATACTTCGTTTACTTTCTCTTGCGATTTGCCCCTTCCAATGTCTTGGATGCGCGCTGGCAAAATCGTAGGCAGGGAAAAAGCTCATTATACTCTCGACTCTTGTTCATTAAACATACTTTTTCATACAGTACCTGCCAAAAGTTGTTCAATCATGATAGTAGTGCGAGTCGAAAACAAGCGTTAAAGACTTTAATATGTCTTTAAATATAAATAAACATCTCGTTGATATTTTCAGTAGTAATTGGTACCAATAACAGCACATTTGAGCGATGCAATTTTAGTGTCAAATGGTCAATTTTTCTGTGCAGTACTGTACGGATTGTACGCTCCTCACAGGTTAAGAGTTTGGCCGAGAGTTGTCTCCTTTCTTTTCTGGCCTAGTGCTGTTCTTTTCTACTTTGCACCGGTCAAACTAAAGGTCACATCGCTAGAGAAACTCAATGAAGTGTAAGAATATGACTTAAATATCATTACTGAACGGAAAATCTACAGAAAAAGTAAATAAAAAGACGTAAAATAGTACTACTTTTTGTCTTTTATTCGTTTTAGTTCAAGCAACAGCTTTAATTCTCCTTACAAGTTGTGTAACAACAATTACAGCGTTGTCCATGTCTGCCATTAGCACCAATGGATTAATTAAAGGAGGTACACGTAATTTTAGAAATAAAATAACACAAAACAAATATGGCTAGTAAAAACTCAAAACGAAAAACACGAATTTCTTATTGTTTCCAAAGGGGGGACGTACTATATGATATCCAGAAGTCTGGGCCCGGAATTTGGAGGATCTATTGGGCTAATATTTTCACTAGCAAACGCTGTAGCTTGCGCCATGTACGTTGTTGGGTTTTGCGAATCGATGGGCGATTTGCTGGACTCTTTCCATGTGAAATTAGTGGATGGAGGAGTTCAGGATATTCGGATAATTGGATGCGTAACAATTATAGTCCTTTTGATCATAGTTGTCGTGGGAATGGAGTGGGAAGCTAAGGTAAGGGAAGAAGAATATGTGGATGTTCTTTGTGTATTTGTGACTTGCTGAAAAATTCCGCAGGCTCAAAACGTACTCTTGGTTATTCTATGTGTTGCAATATTGGATTACTTCATTGGTAGCTTCATAGGTCCTACCAGTGACGAAGTAAGAGCTAAGGGCTTTCTGGGTTACAACAGTAAGTCAATGTTGGAAGAGAATTTCGTTGTCAATTTCAACGGTTGTGTGTTTTAGTAACTGTACTAAAGGATAATTTGTATCCTGATTATAGGTTTTCTGAATCCGACGGAATCTATCACAATTTCTTTTCTGTTTTTGCCGTGTTTTTCCCAGCAGCAACAGGTATATTAGCTGGAGCTAACATATCCGGAGACCTAAAGGTATATCATCAAACAGGGGTAAACTACTTAATGAAATTGTCAAAATTCAGGATCCATCAAACGCTATTCCAAAAGGCACATTGCTAGCAATTCTGATAACTACACTTTCCTACATTTTCATGGGTTTCGTAGCGGGTTTTTGTGTAGTTCGGGACGCAACAGGAAATGTTACTGAATTCCTGGAAGGAACCTTCAGAAATTGCTCCCCGGGAGAATGCGCATACGGATTACAGAATAGTTTCCAGGTAATATTATTGTCCCCAAATTAAGTTTTGTACAATGTTTCATTTTCTATGGTATCAGGTAATCGAGTTGATTTCATGGGTGGGACCCATAATATATGCCGGGTGTTTTGCAGCAACTTTAAGTTCTGCTTTAGCATCATTGGTTTCAGCCCCGAAAGTGTTTCAAGCTTTGTGTAAGGATAAACTTTATCCTCATATAGAGTGGTTTGCTAAAGGATATGGTCAAAATAATGAACCCATACGAGGTTACGTATTGACCTTTATAATTGCCGTCTGCTTCATTTTAATAGGTAACTTAAAAAGACATTAATATTCTGTCTAAAATTTGTTTATAATTTTTGCCCTTGATTTTTAGGGGAACTCAATCGAATAGCTCCATTGATATCGAATTTCTTTCTCGCAGCGTATACACTCATCAATTTTTCGACCTTTCATGCTTCTTTGGCAAAACCAGTTGGTTGGAGGCCCACCTTTAAGGTTTGCATACATAAGTAAGTACCACTGCGATCTAGTCCACTTTCTCGTTGCAGTATTACAACATGTGGCTGAGCTTAATGGGTGCCATTTTATGCGTACTCGTAATGTTCTTGATATCGTGGTGGACTGCCCTGGTTACCTTTTCAGTTGTACTTGCCCTTTACCTCTTCGTTTCGTATCGGAAACCCGGTAGCTTGTCAACTATTAATTGCTAATTGTAAATCATGGTTAACACGGTAATGATTTTAGATGTAAACTGGGGCTCGACAACTCAAGCCCAAATATACAGAAACGCACTACAGGCTGCACATCAACTCAACAACATTGAAGAGCATGTCAAAAACTACAGACCTCAGATACTAGTCTTGTCTGGGATGCCAAGCGCCAGACCAGCTCTGGTGGACTTTTCTAGCCTTTTGACCAAAAACCTTTCGATGTTGGTTTGTGGACATATCAATACAGTAAGGTCTGTCTGACGTGTAATAGCAGGTAGTAGATTTCAACTGTTTTAGAGCGTGTTACCGGAACGAGTAAGGGCAGTCTTGAATCACAAGGCAACGTCTTGGTTGAAGACGCACAAACTGAAAGCTTTCTACATGCAGGTGGACGGCACTACTTTTGAAGAAGGTGCAAAAGCCCTCCTCAAAGCCTGCGGAATTGGAAAGTTGAGGCCCAACATTCTTCTTATGGGACACAAAAACGACTGGCAAAAATGTTTGAAACAGGATTTAGATATGTACTTTGAAGTGCTACAGTACGTTATTTTATGGATAATAAAGGAGAATATATAATAAACGTTTATGCAATTTCTTCTAGCACGGCACTGGATCTGCACTTGGCAGTTGCCATCTTACGGCTTCAGCAGGGTTTGGAATTGAGTCGAAAGGCTCCCGGGGAAGAGGAGTTTCAAAGTTCGAAAATACGAAGTAACAGTTACGAATCAGTTCCAAGAAACAGGTCCTACGATCAACTTTCGCAAAGTAAAAAAATTTACTATCCTTTACGTATAGTATAATAATAAATATCTTTTCTAATTGATTTTGGCGTCAGTTAGCAGTACCAGTAATTTTTCCACTCCGGAAGCAAGAAAGAAGGCAGATACTGTAAGCTCGCGTCCTAATCCTGCTGAGGAACCTCAGAAGAAATTATTGAAATCTTCTGAGTTTCTTCATTCCGTGATGGAAGATAATAATGATTTACCGAAAGAAGTTGCGAGTCAAATGTTCCAGTTCCAAAAGAAACAGAAACGAGGAACAATAGACGTTTGGTGGTTATACGACGATGGGGGTAACTAAATAAACTATTATTGAAGTTTAATTAGAAATGAGATAGAATGATTTTCTAGGTTTAACGTTACTGCTTCCATATATCATGAGAACAAGAAGGAATTGGAGCACATGCACCCTGAGAGTATTTACGCTAGCGAATAAGAGGAATGAATTGGAAGTCGAACAAAGGAATATGGCCAGCATGTTGGCCAAATTTAGAATTGACTATTCTGACCTCCAAATAGTACCTGATATTACTAATAAACCCACGGAATCTACACAGCAGTTTTTCGATTCGCTCATTGCTGATTTTCGAGAATCTAATAAAAACCCTGACGCGGGTAATTAAGTTCAATTGTTACAGATTACAGTTTTAAGTGTACAAGATAGGTCTAGTTCAAAAGTAGATTCTAATGTCTAAAAATTTGGAAGAGATAAGGACGTTCGTTGACCATATTAATTTTGTTTCAGCGACGATATCAGATTCAGAACTACTATCAATGAAGGAGAAAACGAATAGGCATCTTCGATTACGTGAACTCCTTCTGGAGCACTCTCATGATGCAAGCTTTATTGTTATGACACTGCCCGTACCTCGAAAAAATGTGATATCAGCACCTTTGTATTTAGCCTGGTTGGAACTGTTGACAAAAGACATGCCACCATTTCTTCTCGTACGCGGAAATCAGACATCAGTTCTAACATTCTACTCATAATTTATTATAATTTGTAATTTATTTACCTCAACATCCCAACAAGATTACAATATTAATGTTTATTTATATGTATTATGCTACAGTACCTAATATAGCCAGTATTAATGAAAAGAGGGATTAGATAAAGATAAAATACTATGATAATTTTATTTAATATGACAATAGTCCATTGTATAAAGAGAAATTTACTAATATATAACATTAAACTAACCGTAATTCATCTATAATTATGACATTTTCAATAATTTTATAATATACAGGGGTTTTATACGTCATATATTAGATATGTAACCAATTATACACTCGGATGTTAACATGTAAACCCATCTACCTCTTTGCAATTGTTTAACACCAACTCAAATACGCCAAAATTAGCGTACTGTAATTAAAAATAGGGATCCATTGATAACATGATGGAAACCAAAAGTAGGCACACTTGATAGCTTCATCTCTTAATTATATTACACGTTTGAATGGCCAGATAGTGAAGTACAAAGTCTTTCAAATGTAGAAAGAAGAAACCTAATTTTGTGAAGCGCGATGACAGTTGTCAATTGTTAACTATATGACAAAAGAAAAACAAACATCACGCCTAGTATGGATCTATTATTGATGACTGTACCAAAAAAAGAATTAAACAGGATATTTATTGAAATATTGAAAGTAAAACAAAATACGTTGAGGGAAAGTCAAAGATAATGAATTAAGTTTATATTTGTAATAAGTTCTATTTGATAATCCGAAGAGGTACTCTTTCAATTACGACTAAAAATACACAAAAGGAAAAAGCAATTACAAAGTGTTTGATGTTTATCGATTGTTCAGTATTTGTTAAACAAAACAATTACTGACTGCATTGTATGTCGACTATTACGTAAATATAAGACCAAAAATTTTATAGTATCAAATTTCATGCACCTGATTTTATATGAAAACAAACAAAAAATTACTAATAGTTCTGACTTTATTTTTAGCTGAAATACACCTATGTTCTAAACATCCATCAATACGTATATCTATTATAAAACAAATTACCAACAAAGATAACGCATTGACTCCCTCCCCCGTTTCGTCCAATCAAAAATTTTTTTTAATATTTACCGGAGCGAGTTTTTTTCTTCTGGCCCGGTACATGTGTGACATTAGAAGATACATTAGCGGAAATGCAAAGAGTAGCAAATAAACTCTTATAAATGTCGGAAACGAAAACGAAAAATTAATATCATTCGGGAGTGAGACCGAATATTGTTTCGACCTTTCGAAATACGGAATACTCTTGTATATGATGATTAATTCCATCAGGAATCCCAAAGGATACAGCGGAATCCATACCGTGTACCTCAACCACGTCAAAAGTTTTATTTCTTTTTTATATATTTGGGTAATATAATAAGGGTACCTAGAAAAGGTCAGCTATTAATATTCTACCCCATTTACTTCGAAACGTTTACCTTATCACTTCTATCAATGACCAGAAGAGGAATAAGAAGTAAACTTCAGGATTCATTTGTAACTCATGTTCAGATCCCAGTACCAAATTTACCACAGTCATTCTACCTGCCACCTGGATGAAGGTGGTAAATACACTACCACTGGTATATCCCAAGAGGCAATGGAGTATTTCCAAGAATTGAATCGAAGTCAAAAAAATAACCACATACCCCAATATTTCATAGGCACTATCGAATGACCTGTATCCATTTTTTACATACATAATCCCTAACACCACCAAAATGTACAAAAAGCTGACAAACATAAAGAGATTGTAAAATCCAAGATAAACCTTTCTAACGTCCTCTGCAAAAGTACAATTTGTACCTTCAGCTTCAGAAAATAATCTAATATTATTGATATGTTTTACCCCTGCTGTAGCCCAGTTCTTCTTTTTGCAATCTATTGTACAAGTTCCCATAATCTTCGCGAATGTCTCGCAATTTTTCATATGTTTCGTCGACATCGTCAGGATCTTCCTCAGTTTGCCATTTGTCAAAATCAATCTTCAACCATGCAGGTTTCTGTGGCTGACTGATGAGTCTAGGCCACCAATCTTTGGCTTCTTTTGAAATATGAAAAGTCACATTACTGTCTTGTACTTTGTACTTGCTATCCTAGAATCTCTTTCATTCAATAAAAATGATAATAATAAATGAAATCAGCAGCTACCTTAACGTCAACGTTTGAATAGAAATCCAATGAAAAAGTGTAATCATTTTCCCCTCTAGCACCCACACCTTTAGCTTGAAAAGCAAGTTTTCGTTTCTCTAAATTTACGTGAGCATTCTAAAAACAATATTTTAAGGGTGAACTATACCATGAGATTTCAGGTAGACATAAACACTACTTACAATAGCGTTTTTTAGGTCAACTTTTACAAATACAGTATCTTGGGATTGAGCCCAATAAACAAATGGACTTAAGATTGTCATTCCTGCTATTAAACTGCATAAATCCAAATGTAATATAAGTACTTAAAGTGACTATTTACTTATCGAAATGTAGAATAAAAATTGGAGCATGACTTATCAAAATCCCATAGCGACAGAAACCAACTTGTCAGTTTTCGTGATTCCTTTCACTTGCGGAATTATAAACCGATTACAGACATTTAATAACGAGAGATCGAAGAAAATGAAGGAATTGTTCTAGATGATATTAAAGTAGACTAAATGCAAACGCTCATATTATATTTACAGCTCCTGCTGTGCAGAGTTCAAAGAACTCATGATCGATTGTTCCTCTTCCATATTCCACAATGTGTCGCATTTTCAAGTCCATAGATAACGATAAAGTAGATACAAAGGTAAAACCATTTAGCCATTCAATTTAAACGTTGAAACATTCTAAATATTAGCTATGACGAAAGCTGTTTTTGAAAATAACATCTTCAAACTCCTTCAACGAAAAAATTAATAAAAGTTGAAACATCCATGAGCGATGTCGCTGTGCACATGACATTTTACATTCTTCCCCGTCTATCAAAATTTAATCAGTCTTAAAGGAGCAAGTAGTTTTCAAAAATTTTGTAGTTTGATCAAATAAGTCAATTAATAATAACGCCAAGCAAGTGTCATGAAACTTCAGAATGTTATTTTCAAAATAGCGAATGCCAGTATTGCTGGAGTGATCGGTATAACGCTTGTATTCCCGCTGGATCTGGTCAAAACCCGTCTTCAAACTCAGCAACCTCAGCCCAATGGCCAGTTGCAGTATACGTCGATGTTTGACTGTTTCAGGAAAACCTACAGACAAGAAGGCTTTTCCGGAATGTACAAAGGCTCGGGGGTGGTAATCGTGCTTTTGATGCCTGAAAAAGCGATCAAATTGGTAGGGAACGATTTCTTACGTGACCAGCTACGAACTGCTAATGGAGAACTGTCGTTATTTCGACAAGTGCTTGCCGGAATGTTAACAGGAGTCATACAATGCATCGTTACCACCCCCTTAGAACTCATGAAGATTCAATTGCAAAACGCTGGTAAGCGTTTGATCCCCAAAAAAGTCTACCGCTCTCTTTGATACACTTAAGGGTTGAAATGCTTCAAAATTTCTTTTACAACCGAAAAAGAGACAAAGTCATGGTGCACTTCAGATTCAAAATTTAACCAAAANGCTGTGCAGAGTTCAAAGAACTCATGATCGATTGTTCCTCTTCCATATTCCACAATGTGTCGCATTTTCAAGTCCATAGATAACGATAAAGTAGATACAAAGGTAAAACCATTTAGCCATTCAATTTAAACGTTGAAACATTCTAAATATTAGCTATGACGAAAGCTGTTTTTGAAAATAACATCTTCAAACTCCTTCAACGAAAAAATTAATAAAAGTTGAAACATCCATGAGCGATGTCGCTGTGCACATGACATTTTACATTCTTCCCCGTCTATCAAAATTTAATCAGTCTTAAAGGAGCAAGTAGTTTTCAAAAATTTTGTAGTTTGATCAAATAAGTCAATTAATAATAACGCCAAGCAAGTGTCATGAAACTTCAGAATGTTATTTTCAAAATAGCGAATGCCAGTATTGCTGGAGTGATCGGTATAACGCTTGTATTCCCGCTGGATCTGGTCAAAACCCGTCTTCAAACTCAGCAACCTCAGCCCAATGGCCAGTTGCAGTATACGTCGATGTTTGACTGTTTCCGGAAAACCTACAGACAAGAAGGCTTTTCCGGAATGTACAAAGGCTCGGGGGTGGTAATCGTGCTTTTGATGCCTGAAAAAGCGATCAAATTGGTAGGGAACGATTTCTTACGTGACCAGCTACGAACTGCTAATGGAGAACTGTCGTTATTTCGACAAGTGCTTGCCGGAATGTTAACAGGAGTCATACAATGCATCGTTACCACCCCCTTAGAACTCATGAAGATTCAATTGCAAAACGCTGGTAAGCGTTTAATCCGCAAAAAAGTCTACCGCTCTCTTTGATACACTTAAGGGTTGAAATGCTTCAAAATTTCTTTTACAACCGAAAAAGAGACAAAGTCATGGTGCACTTCAGATTCAAAATTTAACCAAAAGTAAGATCAAATAGCAAAAGCCTTGTTAATTAAAGAAAACATGGTGGCTAATATCAAATATTAATGTGAATAATAATTTTCAATTTTTTATCCATTATGAATTGCCTCAGGCTAATGAGAGAAATTTTGTTGCTGTTGTCACACCCACGCCGGGAATCGAACCCGGGACCTTTGGCTTTACCCACCAATGCACTGACCACTAAACTTTTATTTTGATATCAAATCATGCACATCATGCCGAATTTGCTTAAAATGTAGTTCAGAAACAAGTACATACACATACACCGACTCTAGCGATACCAAACCGTATTTTGAAAATCGATAATAATAGCACCTAACTGCCAAAAATCTAATAGGAACAAATTATGTTTTTTGGCCAATAAACAATACCAAAACTACCAGACGTTGATCGTGATTTCAATCTTATATTAGGTATCTTCCATTTGGTCGATAATTTATTGATACTACTTGCGGCGTGCTAATGAGATCAAATAAAATTCTTAGTAGTTTTATTTACTATATTTATTTTGAAAACTTTTAGTCATAATGTAGATGTATTTACTGGATATATGCACAGGTAGAGTGGCAGCAGCCCTTGGTAAACCTAGAAAGACTACTTCCGAAGTTATCAAAGGGATCCTACTAAATTATGGTGTTTTTGGCATGTACAAAGGCATCGGTCCCACAATTTTACGCGACTCCGTATTCTCCGCACTTTACTTCCCTTTATTTGCATTCCTAAACAGTGCAGGACCCAGAAGAAAAGATGGCTCCGGCGAGGCGGCATCCTGGGTCTCTTTTGCATCGGGATGTTCGTCAGCCTGCGTTTCTGCTTGGTTAGTTACCCCGATAGACGTTATCAAAACGCGATTGCAAAATCTAGAGAAGGTAAAGGGAGAAACACGGTACAATGGTATTGCCGATGCTTTTGTAAAGACTCTAAGGCAAGAGGGAGTCAAAGCTCTGTTTAGAGGGGGAGCTTGTAGGGTGATGGTGATTGCACCACTGTTTGGTATCGTACAGGTGGTTTACTTGCTTGGCATTGCCGAGAGAATTATCGGTGTAGATTACCACCGCACTGGATAGCAATACTTTTGATGTTTAGAAATTACTGTATAAATTTAGATTAGTTTTGTATAAAATGCATTATATGTTTATATTGTAAGAATTAATGAATTAAGGAGTTTAAACTTATTGCGTATAAACATTGTATATTTAAACAAAAGTAAAAGTTCAAATATTGCAATTCATTTATTTGGTTTCTTCTTGATTTGCGTATTGTCTAGAATTGAGGGGACTAGTTTTCAACACATTCCTAGAAATTTTCATTACTCTCCAAAGCATCGACCACAGGTTTAGTAGAGCCTGAAGCATCTACAATTTTAAAACTATACAGTAAGATTGCTTAACAAGCAAGTTGAAATAATGATTTTTATCTCTCACTGACTATTTCTTATTGCCATAATGTGTGTAGGTATTATTTTATGTTAAAAGCTTGACCTTTAAATGCCCTTTCCGAATATAAGGCTGCCCCAGGTACATCTTTTAGTTGTAACAAGTTATTAACACTTGTTTAAGCATTTAGACAAAACAAAAATTGATTTTAATCATAAAAGTAAAATAAAGGATAGCACAAGCTGGAGTCGCCCTTAACAAAATTATGTTACTTCTATGGTCGCGAACGGTTAATTTAGAAATCCGAAAAATATGTCTGGAGCACGGCGCTGTACGGGTGCGAAACGTGGACGCTGGACGCGGCAGACGATAGAAAGTTAAAAGCTTTCGAAATGAAGTTTTATAGGAGAATGGCGAGGATACCGTGGATAGAGAAAGTTAGAAATGAGGAAGAATTACAAAGGACACTATCTCAGGCATAAAAGGCTAGTTAGAGGCATACTAGAAACAGAAACAGGAGTTAAGAGGAGTAGAGGTAGACTTAGATTAGAGTACAACTCATAAACAGGTGACGATTTAGTTTAGGAAAGGTTATGATCTATTGGTGCGTGTCCAACAAGTCGGACTGAAGACCCTATGATGTTGATGTACCTTTTGAAGGTTAGGTTATGGTTGGATCAGGTTACACCAGCTACGTGTCTAAAACCACAGGTGTATTTTGAATTAAATAATTGAGAAGAGTCTGTATTATCTTTCATAAAATTGGAATTTTTGAACAATAACATTAAGGGTAGCGATATTTTAGTTACGCCTCTCTCCATAACGTTTGTTAACATCCCTGATAGTGTAGGTTTTGGTCTTGATCGCCTACTTCGTTTTAATTTTCTTCATCACTAATAACATATGTACATACCTACCATAACAAGTAATAGGTAGGTACCTAGTACGTAATTGAGGGTTCGTCATCATGGCTGTAATGACTTTGAGGAATTGAAATGTAGATGTATTACCTGGTATTACCCGAACGAGAGTGAGAGTTTGGAAAGGCGTCATTCGATGTACCGTTAAAAAGAAAAGTGTACTTGTACTTGGCCGAATGCTGGCATACACGGGACACCGGAGAAAGTTATCTCTGATTAGGTAAAAAAGAAGGGGGGGACCATTGTTGCCTTAGCGGCTGTGGACAAGACAAACCACAGCACATCGTCTCATTTTTAAGTAATATTTTACCGCTTCTTCCTGCATTGTTATGACGTCCGCCGATTAGTCGAATATGATGGTGTTCACGTTAATTTTTTGTTTCGCGATTTTCGCGCCTGTAACGCGATCGGAAGTTGCGGGGACGAAAAATGTCACTCATAAAACTACCGAAAAAAATAGTGAACCTAATGTGACCAGCTTGGCCAGTCAACTTAACTTTTACAACCCCGAGTTACTCACGGCGCGATGGGGGATCGTTTCCGAATTGATCAGCAGGGAATGCCAGCACGACATCGAACAATATATAGCTGCACTGAGAAATGGAGAGAAATGGGCACTGAAAAGTATGTATGCCATAAATTGTAACTGTATCATAACAAATATCTTATTGGAAGTCAAAAATAATAAGACTGACTTTAAAATAAACCGTGGCATATTGCAAACAACACAACAACTATCTAACAACATATAAATCGATTATGCATTACTTTGAGTGTTAAAATAATAGACGCACGTAGTTTTTAATTCGTCAGTCAAATAGAAAGCGAACTTAAGTATGAAATTAAGGTGAATTTAAGTCAATCTCTTTTTGTACACTATAAAGTATTGTAATACACAAAATGACTATTTACTTTTAGCTACAAGAGACACAGGTACTTAATAAACAAATGAATAAAAAGCAAAAGCTTATTTAATAATGTTAAAGTTTTCGTGGAAAGTATTTAAAAATAATTCTGCAAGTTCCTTTGTTATTACCTAACGGTTACATAATATTTTGTAATATTAAATAATAATTTCATAAGGAACCTAGAAAACAAAACAGATAAAATTGATTACATAACAGGTAAAAGTTTTTCCGAAAAGTTTATTCATGTTGTCATATTTACGACTTAAATGGCATCAAGAAATTTTTATGATTTAATGGTGTGTTTTAAAGTGAAGATAATAGAAGACGTAACAACTAAAATCGAAATTAATTCTTCAAAAAAACGAATAAATTGAAGTTTAAGTAAACCCAATTAAAAGCATTGATTTTTGATAATTAGAAGGTCTATTTGGGCCTGCCTCAGTGGAGTTCTCTCACAGTTGCCAGAAAGATACAATTTGTTGATTTATGTCATAATAAAGGAAATTGTGTTTGGAAATACCTACTAAAATGTGTTTCGAAATTAGTTGTGTAGCATTTCTTCCTGTTTACAACTAAAAATATTTTTGGAGTAAAGCTGTTTTCTAAAAATGAGGAAAATACTAATTCATTTTCATCTGAAAAAAAAATTAGTTGCGCAAACCGTTGATAACGTTTTTACAGGAAGCAGCAGTAGTCCCCGATTTTGCGATATCCAAGAAGGAAAAACAAAAAATAAAGAAAAAACCCAGGATCGTCTCGCTTTTAGCGATAAAACTCAGTTCTGTGATTCTATGTCTATGAACATTAATTTGTAAATTCAAAAATGATTGTTAAACAAGAAGCAAACAATTGATTGAAAAAAATTATTATTTCAAAAAAAATCATAAAAATCAATTTTTATGTAACTTAGGTACCTATATCGAGATGTAAACTGCTATTAGAGGTAAGGAAAGGTTGGCTGAGACGGTACGGTTCATATGAAAGAATTCATCATTTTGTTTTTGATTAATATGTATACAAAACTATTTTTTGCTATTAATTTGCTATTCCTTCAACTCAATCTAGGGTAGAACTTTTGAATTTGCACTTTATTTGAAATTTGATTTGTCTAGTTAAAAATAAGTTTAATATGCACTTAAGAATTTTCAATTAATATTCAAAGACTTAAAAGTTATGCCATACCATCCTGTTCCTTAACATAATATTATTGTAAAACATCCTATTTTTGGGATTTGTTATTCTTTAACAATGATAAATCGCTATTAATAACGTAAACTGATTTTCATGATAAACAAAAATTTCATTTCAATAACAAATTCTTTAGAAATGTGCTATTCATGGTTGTCGGGACTTGTTATTGACCACCGTCTGAGGATTTTTCAATACGACGTCTCGCCAACGAGAACGGTTATTTTCAGGAGATCTGCTATGACCATTGATTTAACGCAGACCTGAAGATGACAATCGCTCGTGTCAACGAAACGTTTTGCTTTGCACTTTTTCCTTACACGTTCATTTAAAAGAATAGCGAAATAGGAAAGTGGTTTATTCGTTATAGAGATGGTGCTGTAATGTAGAGAAGTAAATATTAGGAAGGAAGTCAGACAGGGATGCACACTGACACCGTCAGAGATAACTTTAAATAAAATGGAAACGGGAATGTCGAAACAGTACTGTATGAAAATAAATAAAAGTAAAGCAAAAATACTGGTATGCAAGAGAAGAAAAAGTAGGAAAAGGGCGAATGTAAAGATAGGAAGTCAGATAAGTCAGGACGGAAGGATCAGTAGGGATATAAAGCAGAGAATAGCACAGGATCGTGTTGCCTTCTATGCTAGCGAACGGTTAATTTAGAACTTCGAAAAAGGTTGTTAAAGGAGTATGTTTGGAACACGGCGCTGTACGGGTGCGAAACATGGACAGTAGACACGGCGGAAAAAAAATATTAAAAGCGTTCGAAATGTGGTGTTACAGGCGAATGATGAGGATAGAGAAGGTTAGAAATTAAGAGGTATTAGAAAGAATAGGAGAACAGAGGACTCTATGGAAGTCAATAAGAAATATGCGAGATAGGTTAGTAGCACACCTTCTCAGGCTTGAAAGTCTAATCGGAGACATATTAGAGGCAGACACTGAAGTTAGGAGGGGTAGAGGTAGACCTAGATTAAAAAACTGTTCCCAAATAGTTAAGGATACGGGTTGTTCTAGTTTTAAGGAAGTGCAGGTGCTTGTCTAATCGATCTTCGGACTGACGACCTTATGATAACGATGATACTTTTAGAATTATTTCAAACAATTTAGCTCAATCTTCCATATTTAACACACTGAATTTACATAACTATCCCGAATATCTTATTTTAAATTGTTGTACATAAACACTAGTGACGACATTCAACCATTCGAAGGACTGTATCATCTAAAAAATACGACGTGGTGTGGGACAATTCGTATACAAACACTTCATGTTTTCACATAAATAATAAAGTACTATAAGTCCAATAAATGCAATTTAAAGCTTTCGAAGGGTGTTACACTTTAATCAAAAGATTTAGAGTAGAGCGATATACCGCATCCATGAACGTTATGCCTAAATGTTTTTTGTGAAACACACTGCATAATTCTAACTAATAATATAAACGCAAATGTGAATTTTGAGTTACTTTGTTTATTTGCTACCATTTCAAGCCTTAACTACTCAATTAATCATCACGAAATTTTGTAAACACATTGTCAGGAGTACAGAGAAGGACATAGGGTGGTACCTTTTATCCAGACAAAGAATACTGTTCCCGAGGAACAGAAAAAATTAATTTTATGTAGTTGATGATATTTGAGACGTATTTAGGGCATCTATGGATAGAATAATTAGTTTTATATGGTCGTCAAATATCTTTGACACGTATTTAGGACATCAATGCGAGCAAAGTCACGAGTAGAACCTAATTATTCATAATAGTTTATTTTAACAAATAATAATCAATTTGATTTCAACCGAATTCCTCGCATGAGCAGAGGTACAAATACAATTGAATGAAAATGTTTGGAACATCAAAATGATGAAATAATCTATTCAATTTTGCACCTTTGATAATTTTTTTGAAATAATTTGTGAACGTACAAAAGCTCTGGCTTTTACAGATGGAATTGTTAAATGAAAAATGTTTCTCTAATCGCAATTATTTGAAGTATTGCTTTTGTAACATCATGTTTTGTAAATATTTATGATGAACTTCAACGAATAGGCATTGAAACGATATTACTAAACTGTTTTGCAAGAAGTAATGGATTTCATTTAGCAGTTTCAAATATTGTGGTTGGCTTTGACCAAAGGCTTTTTTATGATTATTAGTGAAGAAACGTATGTAGAGGATTATCTTTTACTAAATTATACGTGATATTTTTAGTTTTCCTCAATAAAATGCACTCTTTTTTTTGGTGTTAATGTTTAATCATCGCCAGTACATATTTGTATTGATTTGTTTCCTTAATTATAATTGATTTTTACTAGACAAAGCCATGAAAACTATTTGCCCATTCGAGTGTTTGCTTTTCATTTGTGAGACACATGTGCCGGACCTTAAATAAAGATAATTTATTTATTTATTTATAACGAAGCGGCAACTTTCAAGGATTCTGTAGGTTCAATAGTTTTCTGAAATTCATAAGCCCTGAGCATCACGGACTTGTATCATGTCTGATAAAGATCTATAAGGCTTGGCAAAAATTCTTTAACTATTTATTATAATNAGGATTATATCATCGTTGTTTAACAATAATGGTTATTGAAGCGGCGGTACAGTAGCATTTACTTATTGATGTACGCGATTGTGTGCACCATGTTTACCGTAGGAACAGGTCAGGGAAACAGGAAAAAATAACTACCTTCCTACGGCTATTCTCCGTTACGCAACAAAGAAATTTTCTTTTGAAAAACCGTTACAAAACTGACAGAAACAAAACGCCTGTTTATAGTTTCTTTCTATGTCGCTGTTACGTAATATTTAATTACACTGCTGTTGATAATTAAATAAAAATTACGAATATAAGTACCTACTTGAAGGATGAACCACTTAATTTCATTATTAGTTCAACCTACCCTATTGATAAAGATATTTAAATAATGTTTTATATAACTGTCTCCATATTTTTATGTATTAACTAAAAAAATAAAAATTAAAAAAAACATACATTTCATAAAAACTGTCACAATTAGAGTAATTCCTACATTCAAATGTACTCGAATTTGCGTTGAACGGCGACACAGACTTGGTTCCTGGTGGATACACCTTTTATTAATTTCAACAGAGATGGGCCAGGTACCCGGCGGATTACGCACTTATTTTAGGATCCGCGCAGGAACCGGGTAATAACTTTGGGTACCCAATTGTACCAGGGAAACAAGAACAAAAATACCAGCAATAATCATTTCATAACTACTTATAGCAAAAAAATTACCTAGTGAAAATTGGTTTGAATTTTTTGAACGAGACGAGTCGTTTCGGACGTTGGTGTGGGTGATATTTAATGGAAAGACCCCAATCCGGCAAAATCACTACCCGGTGCATCCCTTTTTTTAATGATTGGTTTTTATTTGTGGCACATCTTCCAAATGATGTAAATTTCATCAACGTCCAGAAGATAAACCCTTAGACCCAGATGTTTCTTTCATGATGTACACACGAAACAACGAAGGATATTTCGAACTTCAACCCCTAA